TTAGGGGTTTCTGTAGAGCACGTAGACCACTGCTGAGGGAGCCGGAGCCTGAGAGTGAGGATGAGAGTGACCGTGAGAGAAGGGTTGAGAGAGAGCCTGATCAGGAAGATGAGCTCGCAGAAGCTTCTCAGCAGCGGGCACGGCACAGCATGAGACGACAAGAAGAAGAGGAGAGTGCGAGAGGAACCGGCAATGCTGCGACAGAGCTTAGGCGTAGGGGTGCAAGGGTTTATCTGCCTGAACCAGAACCGGTGCCTGACAATCCTACTGCACCGCTCTTTCGTTACGCAGATGATGCCGTGATCGTAGGTCCAGCTGAGCAGGTGGAAGTGTTGAGAGGTAATGGCCACGCCAATCCGCCAGAGCCCCGACAAAATGACGCTGATCGTGCAGCGCCTAGACCGCGGGTCAGGGTGATGGATTACAATGAGGTTCGGGCGGAGATCATAAGGCAAGAGGCGGACCGAAGGCTCCTAAACTTCCCTCCGGAACCTCCTATTGTTATTAATCCCGCATGGGGCGCTCCTCCGATACAGCCCACAGTGCGAGAGCTTCGCCAACTCAGCACAGATTGGGGAGGCTATGCGTCAGCAGTCTTTCACCGTCCTCCAGCTGGTATCCGAAATGATTTCTATCAGTATGATACCTCAAGACAGGTGCTCATCAGATGGCACTGCCGACCTCGACTCCGACTCTTCAATCCCGACACTACGCGCCTCCCAGCTCCTCTCGAAGCTCGCATGCTCAGCGGACGTCGCCGGACCATGGTGCAAGATACACTCGAAGATCGTATGATCACAGATGATTTTCGAAGAGCAGCGGTAGCAACTACTCGCGCCCTGGAGCGTGAGTGGTGGGGACGAACAGAGATGCAGGTCATCCCAGCTGAAAGGCTACAGGGGTGAGCACGGGATCAAAAGAACGATCCGATGCGCAAGCGAAGAAACCTGTGCGGCAATACTTGTACAGTGTATGGCAGTCGCTAGCAGGGTGTGGCATTTTGCCACAGGGGGAGCGCGTGTGCAAGGTCAGAGAC